TTTTCTCGTATCTTACTTGAACTCTCTTCAGGGACTCCCGAAGGTTTTCTCGTATTCTACTTGAACTCCCGTGGGACCCACGTAATGGACTCCCTGGGGATTTCACAATTTGTCGGGTCTTCCCAGGGATTTCTTTAGGGAAAGTCAACTAGGGTTAGCTATACACGCTGATTTTCTTTTTCTAATATAATATCTATTCCATTTCTGTATTGTAGTATTTATTTTGTTTATTAAATTTTATTACATGGCTACCATAACCAATGAGATGCAGGCATATAAACTTCTTTTTGGTATTGACAATACCTATTCCAGATGAAGTACGACTATTATTTACAATAGTGTTTGTTGATATTTCTGAATTATTGAAATATGTTTTGAAAGAGCTCACAAAAACAGATACATTTCATGTTATAATTCCTTTGGATTGTCTTGAAGAATTGATTCACGATCCTGTTTATCAATTTCCACAAGTTATACATATTGACGTATATGACGATAATATAAGTTATTTAAAAAAACTCAACGTCATTTTCGATTCAACTATGAAAAGCTACTATTTTGTTCTACACGCCAATAAATAAGACGATTGAAAAGTAAAATGTGTGATAAAGCTCTTACTTCATCAGATTCAATCGATCGAAGCACAATTAATGCCATCCTTTCATTACTAGAAGATAGTCTTTCTGATAAGCCATTAAATATTTGCAATTGTCGTTCAGAGATTCTAAAACAATTTACTTCAACATCATTATATGGTCTGCCTGCAAAGAATATCAATAACTTGCCTTCATATTTTATATGTTCATCATGTCATTTAGTCTATAAAGAATCTTATCAACTTGAATGTAGACATCAACAATGTGAAATATGCGTACATATTCACACAGGGTAATATTGTCTTTTTTATTTTATTAATGTATATTTTTTTAATGGTATTAGTTGTATAATATGTCCTGCAATTATCACACATGATAAAGTTTGCATGACAACCGATACGTATTAGTCCGTTTTTTTCAAGGTTTTGCTGGACGAAGATACGCAAATGGAGATGCAAAATTTATGCATACATTGTTCAAGTTGCGTATGGATAGGTTCATGGAAAGATTATCAAGTATGAAATGCTGATAGTCTTTTTTGCTAATAAACCATACCCTTTTTAAACTTATTTCTAGGCGCATTTCAAAAAAAATCATTATAAACTAATCACTTGTCTCATCCGTAATCGAGAAGTAAATATTCAACTCTTAAGAAATTTTCTTGAAAAATATTTTATCGTCATATTTAGGTTGATGACACTAATGTTCTTCAACATAGTTTTACGGAAATAAATCAAGAAACTCTTTTTGATCCTAATTCTTCCTTAGACTCAAATCTATTGGTCACATCTCTCAATGGCACTTGTTTATGGGAAATTTCTGATGTCAATGGTATACAAAGTATGCGTCTAACAACTTTTTATGGAAAACAAGCTACGAAAAATCTTGCAGTACGGAGACAAAAATTTCGATCCTCTCTCTGCAAAGACAGTGAAAGACACTAGCTAAAGGCGATCACAGATTGTGATAGATGCTATTGGTATATGATCAAACATCGTATATCAATAAAATATCGTTACCATACATGAAATACTTCCTTATTGCATTTGTGAAGTATGAAGTGAAAGGATAATGAAGAAAGGTGTCCCAAAACACAAAGAATAAACCAATCTTCTTGTGATTAGCAATCGCAGTTAAATTGTATCTCATATTTAAAACCCTACTGTGATTTTTCTAACAACTATTTTTTAAACAACATTATTTCTTCTTATTTGTTTATCAGATGTAGCTATATTTGGTAGACAAAAATCGATTTATTCTTCACCATTTCATTTATTTCCAAATGGTTATAAAATGTGTTTGAGATTGTTCATAAATGGAGATCGTCTGGCAAGAAATTCGTATATGTCATTATTTTTTATACACATGCGTGGTGAATATGATGCACATCTTCAATGGCCATTTAAACTTAAAGTAACATTTTCTTTAATTGATCAATCAACAACGAATGATAAACGATATCATATTGATCAATTTTGTTGGCCTGATTCAACCGACATATGTTTTCAACGTCCTACAACCGATATGAATACCGCGTATGGTATTTCAAGGTTTTGTCTTCTTGATCTATTTAGACAAAAGCGAAATTGTTTTGTTCAAAATGATACAATGTTTATTAAAGTTGAAGTTGATCTTTTAAGTGAAAGGTCAAGTAGATTGTCTCTATCAAAAGATATATCAATTCATTTGTTTTTTTTGTTTCAGGCTTACCATTGAGAGTTGGTGCAGGTCAATTACCCAGTGATGATGAACACGTTGATACAAAGGATGACGATCTACTGCGTATCATTTGTCGTGACGATGCATAATAATGAAATTCAACAAGCAAGCTATCATAAATTATTGATAATAATTCGGTAGTGTCAGATAGCTGAATGTCTTTTTCTAATATCATTCTCTATTGCTTCTTTGTTGATTGATTTGCTAGTTTGAAAAGGCTACTATTTAAGCGGTCAGTAAAATAAATTAAATGATCAGTAAAATAGATGAAATGGTCAGTAAGATAAATGGTCAGTAAAAAGTATATAAATGATCAGTAAAAAGATTGAATGGTCAGTACTTAGACTATCACTCATATAAAAAAAAGATTGGAAAAAATCTAATTTTAATCGATTTTTTAAATCAAACCAGTGATTAAAATAAACTAAATTTATAAATATTAATTTTAATGGCGGCGACGGTAAAATGCGTTTTCTCAAACTTTATGTTGAAAACTCAGATGTTCGATCGCTTTTTCGGACTCCTTGCCTCGGAAAATTAGTAGATATGATGCTAGATCGACCTTTGACATAAATTCCACGCTTCAAGACTCGATATCAATTGGTACTTATTCATTTAAAAAAAAAAACTATTAGAATTGATTAAAATCGATTTAAAAATTTTAATCGATTTTAATAGATTAAAAATCGAATAATCTGACTAAAATGGAGTAAAATAGTCAATGAAAAAATTTTAATCAGTTAAAATGGATACTTATAAATTTAATTTATTTTAATCACTAGTTTGATTAAAAACCTGGTTAAAACTGTCCCATTTTAATCGATTTTTAATCACAAAAAAATCGATTAAAATCAGATTTTTTCCAATCTTTTTTTTTATATGAGTGATAATCTAAGTACTGACCATTTAATCTTTTTACTGATCATTTATACTTTTTTTACTGACTATTTATCTTACTGATCATTTCATATATTTTACTGACCATTTCATTTATTTTACTGACCGCTTAATAATATCCCGTTTGAAAATCTTTCGAACAGATGAGGAAAGCTTTGTATTGTCTTCTAAGTCACCTAGTGTCTATCAATGATTCAACATCTATCTAATTTATAAACAATTTACTGTTCAATAGAGCAGTTTGATTGTTTATCAAAAGATGATGCGTTTGAATAGTATACTTTGATGATAGATGCATTGAATTTATTCTCAACGTCATGCTATTCATTTGTAACCACACTTTAGGACAATTTTATCATCTTCAAAGTCAGTTTTTATTTTTTGTCATTAAACATCTTTTTTATCTATATGTATATCTGATGTTTAAGGATTGAAAATAGTAAAGTAATAGAACCATTGCATATCAAAGCATTTATGTTTTACGAACTGTGTTTCAATGAGATTTTCAATACAAATCAGGGATAAAATTGCAATTTTTATTTAATCATCGGATTTCATAGCAATAAATAAAACTCTTTAGTAACTGACTATTAGTTTTTATTTTGTCGCTCATCTATATTTAAATTACTTTTACCAATCACTAACAAAGCTGAAAACTATTGATTTCAATTTGAAAATATTTTCTTTTACGAAAAACTTTCAACATTTCGTGAAAAATATATGACTTTCTTTCCTCACGTATGTATTCAAACTGGCAAGTCTTTTATATCAACACGATCATGCAAACACTCGTCTGTATAGTTTGAAATATCATTAGTATATTATCTTTTTCTTTTAAGTATCTATTTTCTATCTTTTTAATAACAAATTATTGACTAATCAATAAAATCTGCGATAATTTCAATATAATTAATTTTATATAAGATAATAATCATAACGCTATGCAAAATCTGAAAGAGCATTTTATATATAAAAAGAAAAGAATAGTTATAAGCCAAAACCAAAATTGCGGATGATCAAAGTCATCAATAAAAATAATACATTTTGAAAAACGTAGAAGACAAAAATTTTACCTAAGATGGATTTATAGGAAAAGAATATAACGAGAAAATATTCACTTGCAATTGTGAATTTTTCAAAAAACAATTTATCCTTCACAGAAGTGCCATAAAAATCGAGATTTTTTGTATATTCATCGACTCAAGGAAAAAGAACATTTACTTGTACTGAAGCTTTTAGGATAATCTATTGGCCTTAGGACCTAAAATACCTAATTGACATGTCTTCATTGAATTCTTTTTTTTACTCTGTCGCTATAATACGCAATATGCAATTCAGTAATATGTTCATAGCTTTAGAAGAAACATCCATAAGTCCGTCTCATTTTGCATGGCGGTTAATCTCATACGATTCTAATTACTCCAAGTCGAACAATACGATGTCACGTTGTTAGACTTCAAATGGGAAAAATATTGAATTAAAAGCTTGTAATTACTTAGAACAATCTTGCTCATGTAACTATGAATATCAATTAAAGTTAATGTTGAAAACAGAATAAAAAAAAAATTCTAATGGACTAAAAATGATCACTTCCAGGATTTGCCGTCTTTTTTAACGATTGTTTCTTGAAAAAAAAAATAACCGCTCAATTCTTTGATGATGATAAATAAGCAGTCATGAATATTTATTATCACAAAAATGATACATACATTATTCTACATTAAGAAATAAAATAGAACTGTTAAAAATTGTTTGTTTTTTTTTTTCATTTTTCTTTATGCGTATATCACATTAACTTGTATTATTCGAAATGCTACGATCATCATAGTTACGACTTTGTTGTAAATCTTCATTATTTAATGTTATTTGTGCTTCTTTTAATAGATATTGGTGTCCTGTTTGTTGATATTCCGATATGAAATCAGTATTAAATGTCTTTTTATTTCGATTATTTCTACGAAATGTTGTTAATTTGATTGTTCTTGTTGTTGTTGATGATTTATTTAATTTAAATCCATTTGATCGATAAAAACAGATTTCTGTTATAAAATCACGTAATTCATTACGAAAATTCGTTGCCGAAAAACAATATAAAAAGAAATTTATTGCATGTGATGTAAATTGTATACTATTTAAACATATCTGTACCATATGACGAAAACTACGAGAATATTTTTGTGTTGACATTCGATGACGAAAAAAAACAAAATAAATACATGATGGTAGTGTTAATAATACAAATGCAAATGTTACAATCATTAACATTAATGATAATTGTCGATGACGAGATGCATTTGAACGTATATTAGTTCCAAATGTACTCGGTTTTCTTATTGCACGAACACGAGCCGATCGAATTGTTATATATATTATATAGATATTACATGATAGCATTATTATGAATGGAAATAAATTATACGCGACTAAATGAACACGTTCCCATTGAGGAAATATATAATAATTATTAGTTCGTGTTGCATAACATTTAACTTCATAATTTGGTGGACCATTACGATAACCATTTAAAAATAATATATGAGAATTTAATAGTAAACAAAATATCGTTAATATACCTATATGATATTTTGTACGTGATAATTTACCACAGTTTTGTTTCCATGTTAGAAAATAAAGACTTAAACAGCGATCTAAGAATAAGAAAAATAAATTATCATAGAATATTTTTTAATTAATATAACCTTTTGTTCTTAGACAGTAAATCAGATGTTTGATATTTACCAAAAGTGAAAAAATGAATTAGTAATATGCCTTAGGTACAATGATAGACTAAGACAAATGCTAAATATATATCTGTGTCTCGTATCAGAAGGAAAAAGGACAAAGGTCTTTGGATCGATGCCTAGGGAAACATATTCCATTTTGCAGAGCTGGGCAACTCAATTAATAGACAAAAATAATCCATCATATTTGATACAAGGAAAATGGGTACTCCAAGTCAATTCAATACGTTAATATTTGATGTTTTTGTCCATTCTTTTCCATTTAATGACATATAAGAACTTTATCAATTAAATTGGGTCGGATTCCTAGATTGAATTAATTTCAGTTGAGTTGAGTTGAAATGAATTGAAATTTTCTTTGTTTTGAATTGAGTTGCCCAGCTCTGCCATTTTGCCACTCCATAACAAAAAAAAAATACTTTTTACTTTTTTCAATTAAAAAAAACAACAGTTCTAATCAATTACAAAAGCACTTGACGATTACTACGTTCCTATCTATATAATAATAAAAACAAAAATAATGGATGTGATTTATTTCATGCTATTACATTCATTATCTATATATTCAAATATATTTTATGATACCCCTTATATTAAATTTGTTATTCTATGCATTGTACTTTTTCCAACACTAAATTCATGTCATATGTACTTTAATAGAACTATACATTTCTATGAGGAAATTAGATGTAGATTCTTTGATAATTTGAAATTTTCTTTCAAGATAATGTAATCTAGAGATTGAGACAAACCTAAACTAACAGCTGCTAAACACCAGCTTGATAATTGTAAACCAACAAATGCTAAATATGATACAACTCGGCAATGTACTAAAGATATTTCTTCTAAATTAGTATTGGTACTACTTATTGTAAATTTATAAAAATTATTTAAATTCCAACCATATAATGCTATAATATCACACACACTAACAGCAATTAAATATCTCATTGTAACATAACGTCTTAAATTTTGACGGCATAATATAATTATTGTTAATAAATTACCTAATGTTCCAATAATAACAAGTACAAGTGCATATAAACTGAAACATCGTATAACCAAACGATAAAAATCAGTATGATTCGATGGCATAGTGATGGTTGTATTAAAATCAATAATTTTCTCAAATGTATAATCAATGATCGTTTCCTGTTGCGATGGAAGTACAAATATTGAAAATTCTTTTGTTGTATTCATATGATTAATTTCTTTTGGTAAATAGTTCAATGGGAATCGTACCAGTTGTTCAAAACTTCAAAATAAATTGTAAAATAGAAAGTAAAAAAGGTAGAAAAACAAAGATATCAAATACTAAGGCAATGCCATAAAATGGAAGAAGAGACATAAAACGATTTTCTTTTTCTATATATATTTAATCCACTCTATGATTGGCTAAACTCGATTAGGCAAGATAAACTGTTTATTAACTAATGAATACGAAAGAAATATTTTTTCACATATCAATTATAGCTTACGGTCGATATCTGTTGGTCTATTAATAGATTTCAACAGTTAACAACTGTTTTCTTTTTGTTCGTATAAAGTAATTTTCATCGATCTATAATTACTTTCCTTTTTTTTTGATTGTGTTAATAAGATTCTTACTTCGTATTATTTGTTCCACTGTTTGCTTCTCAACTAACACCACCTTACATATGTTCAAATATCATCTTACTTATTCAATAACAATATTCTATTGTTCAAACAACATAAATAACTTACTAAATTTCGTTCTTGTATTCATTATCATAATATTGAATTACGTCAATTATCTTTTAACAGATCGAATCATTTATAGGCAAAAAAAAAAGTATCCGAGTTAAACTACGTATATTCCTAGTAATAAAACTCTGGCTTATAATTGATAGTATATGATTAAGAAAAAAAATCACACATCAAAGAGTAGATGATACTTACAACAAAATACATCATAGTCTTGATAATCTCGTAATATAAAAAACGATATAAAAAGATGAATGCTATCTTAGTGATAGTGGAAGCATCTACTAGAAAAAAAACAGGATCTTATCATCATCGTTTCCAGATTTTTTTGTCGAAATATTCATAGAGAATCTTTTGCACATCATCAATTAGAAACCAATCTAGTTCTTTGTTTATTTTTCCTTTCTATAAATCTGATGCATGATTCGGGTGACAGTTGTCATGATATAGACGTACTAATTGTCAAGAATAAGTCGCTTTGATTAAAACATACCAACTGCAGTTCGATTTTGCTTAATCATAAGAAATTGTCAAACGTCTTTTAGTATATTATTATTATTATTAATATATAGATATCTGTCTAGGTCGTCAATGTCCAGCATATTTGTTTATTTAGTTTTTCAAGTATAATGAGTTTATATATTAGATCACATACCCGCTTTTGTTATTAAACATGGTGAGAGGTTACGATATTGTTTTCTAGGGCTTTTCTTCTAAAAATATTAAAGAATACAAAAATATATACAGATAAACACAGAAAACTGTTTGGAAAATATACGTTTTTTTTTCGAGAGAATGTTTGTATGTCAAAATAATTTCAGAAAAAAAATATATTCCGATAAATATGTCGACAGATTTAATGAGATAAGTTCCGAAATTAAAGAAAAACACAATACAAGAAAAAAAACATTTAACGACACTTGTGCCTTAAACATTAATGCTTAGTTGAAATGATCGATATGTATACGATGACGGTTGTTTGTTTTTCATATGACTGTTCGATTAAGGGGGTTGTATTTGCTTTCTTTTTTACAATGAATATCAGACATTAGATATAAGCACGATAGAGAATTTACTATAACAACTTGTCTAATACGATAAGATAAACAACTGCGTTCTTTTAATTCAAATCATATCATTATCTTACTAATACTGATAGAGTAGGAAAAATATGCAAACATATTCATTAGGTACGGATATAGCATTTCGAAAAGTTTTATGAAAATTATACTATACTATTAAAACATCTAATGAAATAGCGTTTTCTCATTCCCCTAATCAGTTCAACTAATAAAAACAATCTCATTTGATTCGATGGAATTGAAAAAAAGATTGATAGAAACATGTCTGATTAATATTGATAATCAATATGTCAATTTTTGCAATTCTTCAAGAAAAAAAATATACGTTTTCTTTTGTTTTTCTTTATATTTGCACAATCAACAACCCTTAATTATATTCTTTTCTATATTCCCATACATGTGAAAACATGAAAAATAACTATAATACTTTCATATCAAAAAATGAAATGAAAATTTTGTAGATACATTCATTTTCATAGAGATAATCCATAAAAGACATTTGGAAAGCAAACGAGCCAGGACGAAACAGATATATCTGGACATCTTGACGCTTGCTACGAATGTTATTTTTTAAAAGTGTTTTTCAGAAAAGGTTCAATTTCAGTGGGTTTCGAACCACACTTTCAACTATGATATTGTTAGTAGTGCTACACATTTACTTTGATAATCAAGACAGATGTGTTGTGTTAGATCTTGCGAGAAGCACTATCGGATTCTGATCTGACTCCAAACAATTAGATGGTATTTCTGTTTATTAGACTTCAACTATCTTACTTCAAAACTTCTCAATTTTTTTATGGAAGGTCGTCTAGTTGAGCATTAAAAATTCGATAACTTAGTCAAATATTAATAAGAACTCAAAATCCTTTTAGAATTTTTATTATAACACTATATAGTATCTATAGGAAAAAAAGTCATTAAAACCGGAATATAATCTCTTTCTACAAATGTTTTTACAAACTGAATACTCAGAAGGATGGGGAATAGGTCAAAAAAAGTAACTTTTAACTGGACATCCATCACACATGATTCTATACCGTATGTGATGATGATGGATAAAAAATTTGTATGAAGATTCTTGAGAAGCTATTGTATTGTTTTGATTGTTTCATGCAGACTTTTGTCTACCAGAAAGAAACTATTAGGCGACAACTTGGTTTTTATTTCTATTTCTATAATACCGAACAATAGAAACATATTTCGTTGCAAAGCACAAAAGCTTCAACTCCACATCTAACTGCAGTATTTAGTGTAGTACCAATATTTAACATTTATTAATGATATGAAGAATCTGGATGCCTTAATAGTGTCATATTGGTTTCTTTTTCGTTCTGGAAATGTGCATCTTTATTTTATGTGTTGTCATTGATTTTTTTTAAATACAACATAACATCATGGATCTTTTTACTTTTCAGTATGAAATTCTTATCGATAAGAAAACTGATTCAAAATAGAAGATACTATTTGTTAATGTTTATAAACATTAGCTGCAATAAATTAGATCCTTGAGTTATTTAGTAAGCATTATTTCTTATAAAAGATAGAATAAAAGTCATCTCTAATAATCATGAAAGAATATCTCGATATAATGCGTCACAATGCTCAATCAAAACCCTATTATGCATTATTTCTAGAAGGAGATATTTTAGGTGAAGAAAAGATACAAAATATAGAGTCAGTGGCCCTAATTCTGCCGGAAAAAAAAA